CGCCGTATGAACACATCTGCGGATGTTTCTAAATTCAAACTTTCACCAGTTTCGTGTTTAAATGTTGTTTTCGGAGTGGACGGTAATTTGCACTTTCCAGTACCGTCCTACAACATTTTCAATTGCCGTGTTGGGCTTTCTTAACTGATTCTGATTTTTATTATTTTCTTTGAATTCCTAATCAGTTATAAATTATTATTATTTTCCTGGTCGGTTATAAATTATTTATCATTTAATGTTTAACATGTCCGTGCTCTGTCTTTGCCCTGTCCTGTTTTTGTTTGGGGTCCGCCTGGGCTCCTTGCCGTTGGTTCTTGTTGCTGGGTCGTGTGGGGGTTGCGTTCATTGAACGCCGCCTTTCCTTGTTGATCTTGTTTATCATATTTCGTATTTTAGACAGTGAAAGGTGGTTAGACAGAATGAGAACTGGGGATATGAAAGAGAAGAAAAATAGAGGAGGATCTAGTGCAGGTACAAAAGCTGCTCAAGAGAAAACTTGGGCGGAGCAGAAGAGAGGTTGGGGAAGGGACATGTATCATAAAAGCTCATACCTATTTATAGAAATCATCTTGATATTGTTATACTGGTATTTGAATTATTGTTCAGTAACTGCATGTGTTTATTACTCACATATTAGATGTATGCATTGAACTATGGTGAACAAATTTGATTCTTAAATGATGTGTGCCGATTCAATTAATGTGTTAATAGTAAATTACTCAATATTTACCAATACGTACCAAATCTAATACTTAGCAGATATTGATTGCTTAATGTTCGTAATGAAATAATTCATTAGTTGTTCTCAAGTGGAAAGTTATAATGACAATTTGACAACTTTGTGATAGCCTATTATCTATGTGTATTTATACAAATATAAACAGACTCTATGACATTTAAATTTTGAACTTGATTGTCCAAGGGAGATGGAACTTTGGCTCACTTAGCGAGAGAGGGTAATGATATGCGCCAGTAAACTTGTCACCTTACTTTCATTTTCGTAGTAAATGTCCTTGTACACAATGTTTCTTTAATAAATTCTTAAACGAATTGCAGTCATAATAAATCTTACTTTATGTACACTCCATTTAGCTTTAAATCTGTATATATCCTTTATGTCTTTAGTCTTCACAGTATGGAAATGTATACGACTATCGATAACTATCTTAGCCCCGAGCTAATATATGTCACTCCTCTATTGTTGTCCTTAAGTGGAGATTTAAAAAAAATCCTTGTCCAGGCGAATCTAATGATGATTGTATATCTATCCTTAGTCAAAATATAAGAAGCATGAGGAATAAGTTAAATTATGTCAAAGATTACTGGCTTGATTTTGATATACTATGCTTCACAGAGACACATCTTGATAATATAGTGTCGAACGACGATATTAAACTAGATAATTTTCCGTGTTTTACCGTAAAGACGGTACACGTCATTCTTGTGGTATATTAGTATATGTTTCAGACCAATTGATCTCGAAACGAATATCTGAATTAGAGGACTATTTACAAGAATCACTTTGGATTGAATTAAGAAACAAGTACACTAAGCAACTTATTTGTACTGTTTATAGACAACAAATGCCCCCGTCGAATTTTGGAATAAAATGAATATTTGTTTAGAAAAAGCCCTTGAACAATGTAGCCGAATAATTTTAGTTGGGGATGTAAATGAAGATCAGTTGAACCTTAATAATCACTAATTTAAAGATGTTTTGATATTAAACGACCTTTAGAATATAATTAGAGAACCGACTCGAGTAAATTCAAACTCCTCAACACTAATTGACCCAATAGCAATTAGTAATAATATTCATGTTAACGATTCTGGAATAAGTCCCACACTGCGCGACATCAGTGACCATTTTGGAACCTACCTGTTTACCAAATATATAAATGAATCATGTAAAACATATAAAAGACGTGTATGGAATTATAATAGAGGAAATTTTCAGGAACTTAATAATCTCATACAAAATAATGACTGGTCATTTCTTAATTTAAACTCAGTACATGAAGCCACCGAATTGTTTACTTCTAGTATTCTTAGATTAGCCGAAAAATGCATTCCAACGCGATGAGTAACTATAAGACTTAAGGACAAACCGTGGTATGACTCAGTAATTCGTAGAACTTCCAGATAACGCGATCGCTCAAAGAAAAAAGCAGTTAGAACTAATTCGATTTTTGATTGGAACACTTTCAAACATTTAAGAAACAAAGTCAGTATTTAAAAGAAAAAAAATGCTAAAGAACAATTTTTTTAATAATCTTGAGTATTCGTTGGAGAAAGCAAGTGTAAATGATCCAAAACTTTATTGGAAAACAGTTAAGTTATTAATTAAAGAAAATTCAAATGCGTTTAATTCAATACCAACCTTGTTAGTAGATGAAAATGGTAATGAACAACAATATGAAACTGATGCCGAAAAAGCAAATTGCTTAAACGAATATTTCATATCAGTGTTGCATATTGATACAACTTCTACTCAACTTCCGGTATTTATTCAAAAATCAAACAACGATATTGAAAATTTTACAATTAATTACCAAGAAATAATTGATATATTGTCATTTTTACCCATAAACAAGGCAGTTGGGCAGGATGATATAAGTCTAACTATTTGTAAGCCATTATGTATATTATTTAATAGATCTCTTCGAGAAGGTGTTTATCCTAATGTAAGGAAATTTGCAAAAGTTAGCCCCTTTTTAAAAAAGGAAATAGAAATAGTTCTTCTAATTATCGCCCAATATCATTAATTAGTTGTGTAGGTAAAGTGATGGAGCGAGTAATCTTCAAACATATATACAACCATCTACATTCAAACAATTTGATATATCCCTTACAGTCAGGTTTTCTCCCTGGACATTCAGCTTTTTATCAACTAATAGACATCTATCACCAAATTTGCGAATCCTATGACAAAAAGCTATCGACCTGTATTATTTTTTTGTGATATATCAAAAGCATTCGACAGGGTATGGCATCAAGGTGTGCTTTTTAAACTAAAACAATATGGTATTAAAGACCAGCTTCTCATTTGGGTTACTGATTATCTCTCTGAAAGGAACAATCGGTCTTTATAGGCTCTGAACTATCTTCCATCCTTAAGATATCTGCAGGCGTCCCTCAAGGCTCAGCCCTTGGGCCTAAATTGTTTTTGATTTACGTCAATGATATTGCCGAAAACTTACTCTCTATTACTCGTCTTTTTGCAGACGACAGCTCTTTAGCTGTTTCTTAAAACAATATCGACCTCATTGAAACAACTTTAAATCGTGACCTAAATATCATTAATGAATGGTCTAATCAATGGCTTATGAGTTTCAATCCTAATAAAACTGAAGTTATTTTTTTCTCTTCAAACACAAATCCTAGTAAGCCAATTTTATTTTTTAATAACAATCGTCTTGACTTTGTTTATCATCACAAACATTTAGGCTTGACAATTTCTCATGATCTCAAATGGCATGAACATATCGAAAAAATAATGTTATCAGCGTCAAAAGTTTTAAGTACAATGCGTGCATTAAAATTCAAACTTAAACGATCTACTATGAATAAAAAATACATCTCTTATATGCGTCCGATTTTGGAATACGCCTCAGTAGTGTGGGACGGTTGTACATTAAACGAAAAGCAATCACTTAAACAATTGCAATACGAAGCCGCGCGCGACGTTACTGGGTTAACTAGGTCTGTATCGATAAATTCATTGATTAAAGAAGTAGGCTGGGTATCTCTTTCTGACAGACGTAAAATTCAAAAGTTAGTCACTTTTTACAAAGCAATAATGGCATTGTCCCTCATTATCTTGAAGATCTCTTCCCAAGTACTGTTTAAGAAACATCAAACTATCCACTTCGAAATAATAACAATTATGCAACATTAGCTCGTCGTACTGAAACGTACAATAGATCTTTCTTACCTTCAGCAATTTAACTTTGGAATTCACTTGATGCTAGTATTCGTAATACGGAATCACTAAACATATTTAAAACTAGAATGAAAGAAATTCTCAAAGCTCCTATTGTACCTAAACATTTTTAATAGGTGACAGACTATTATCAGTTTTACACTCACGTATAAGAAACAATTGCAGCGACCTAAATGGTGACCTAGTTAGAAATCATCTTAGTGAAAATCCCACATGTCATTGCGGAAATGCAGTTGAGAATGCTGAACATTTTTTTCTTTAAGTGTCCGAGTTATCAAACGCAAACGGTGGGGGTAGGTTATACTGAATCCTTAGACTATCCATATTCATAAATTTATAAAATACACGAACGTTGATTTCTATCTGTTCGATTACTTTATTGTATATTGTTAAAAATCGTTTCTTACGATTCATTCCATCAGCAATTATACATGATATACACTATGTTTATGTTATATGCCATTAAGTATAATAATGTTTTTTCATTACTTGTAAACAATATTGATTGATCAATCTTTATTTGAGCATAAAATTTATGACCATAAAACCATAAATTGAGTTACAGGCCATCTATGCTCCAGAAATGTGTTTATTTTAATTCTTAAAAACTTTGAATTTTTGGTGCCCTGATATAGTTTTCAATAAATTATTCATTTACCATCTTTTATTTTTGCATTTTTTTTGCAGTTTATACAGTTATGAAATTTTAATGTAGTTGTTAAGTCATTTGTAAGAATGTCAAAATACTATTTTGTTTACATTTTACTACTTTTAAGACAAAACAATAAAGCTCACACGGTACTAGTTCAGTAGGAGATAAGCATCTAGCATGCCTGATAAAAATTAAAGAAAAGTTATAAAATTTATTTTTAGTGGGACAAAATATTTGTTTCTGAGGCAAAATGTGCCTTTAACATCGGATAAAATTGTACCTTTATTACGAAGCGTTTGACACGAAGCGTTTGACACCCACCCATGTATGACATTGTGAATAGCTTATCGTTGCAAACAAACTGATGCTTTATCCATAAATCTATGCATAAATAGAATTGGAGAACATAACGAGTTTCAAATGTACCATTTATTTTTCGACAGGTTTAAACCACAAAAACTTTTTTCGGCGAGCTTTGGTTCTGATTTTTCTTTAGTGAATTATTACCCTGTGAGATGATTTATAATTTACAGTTACGTCTGACAATATCAACTAAATTTCTTATGTGATAGTAATTAAAAAATATAGATTACTGCGTCAAAGTATTAAAGACGTTTACAAAGCCGGGTGCTGTAATTTATTCATGGCTGCCACATGCCATTAAAGAAAGCGATGGCAACAAACTTTTAACGTTGAAAAAAGTGCATTTTATTAAATAAAATTGACTAATGCTAAAATTTCACCAGGAGCAACAATTTAATTTTGTTCACAAATTTTTCAGTGCGATGCAATTAAGAGTTAGGAAATATAAATCAAGTGTTATAACTGGGATTTTCTTTATATTACTACTGGTTTTAAATGTATACATTTTTCAGACTACTAGTGTTCAGGAATTTGATGTATGCGTAGTTGGAGCCGGTTTGTCTGGCGCAGTGATAGCGGAAAGATATGCGGCAACAACTAAAAAGTCAATTCTGGTTCTTGATAAACGTGACCATATTGGTGGAAACTGTTACGATTTTATTGACAATGAGACAAGTATCCGTGTTTCAAAGTACGGTGCGCACCTGTTCCATACACGCTATCAGCAAGTTTGGGATTATGTTCAGCAGTTTAGCGAATGGGTTCCTTATGAACATAAAGTTTTGGCTCTTGTGGAAGGAAATCACATTCATATTCCAGTAAATATCAACACAGTTAACGCTTTATTTAATCTAGATATTAAATCTGTTGAGGACATGGATGCATGGCTAAAAAGAGAGCAGGTTCAATACAATCGCAAACCATCAAATTCTGAAGAGATGGCATTATCACGTGTAGGTAGTAAATTGTACAATCTACTTTTTAAACCTTACACGATAAAGCAGTGGAATAAAACTCCTGCTGAATTAGGTCCGTCTGTTTTGGCTCGTATTCCGGTACGAAACAATTGGGATGACCGTTATTTTTCAGACCAATACCAGGCTTTGCCTAAGAGAGGTTATACAAATTTAATTCAAAACATGTTAAAATCACCGCAGATAATTGTCCGACTGAAAACGGACTATTTTGACATTCGTGACATGATCAAATGCAGAAAAACGTACTTTTCTGGACCCATTGACAGATTTTACGAGAAGAAGGGATTACCAAAACTGGAATACAGATCTTTGTCATTTGAACGTAAAGTGTTAAAGAACGTGGATCATTTTCAGCCAGGCAGTGTTGTTAACCATCCAAGTCTAAAAGATAACTTTACACGTATTGTTGAGTACAAGTGGTTACCTAATCAAGAATTTGATTCTAATGACACAGTTATATTCTATGAGAGATCGACTGCCGACGGAGAACCATATTATCCGGTGCCTAATGAACGGAATCAAAATTTATACCAACGTTATAAGACATTCGCTAACTCAGATCCTGATATATATTTTCTTGGACGCTTGGCAAACTACAAATATTTCAACATGGATGAAGCAATCAAAAACGCACTAGATATGTTTTATATAACAGAAAGTGATTAAAGCTGCATACCTCTAGAAGAACCAAAATATGTCGTCAAAAAAAAAAAATAAAAAAAATGAGGAAATGTAAAAAGTTTTAAGAAAATTAAAAATATCAACTATTCGAGTAATGATTTACATATTATATGTGCTATTAAGGGCTGATTTTGCAGTATTCATCACCATTAGGTAGGGGCTTTTTTTTTGCTTATTTTGACCTCTTTTGGGGTAATTCACGAGGATTGCAAATGCTATTTGTAATGTGGAAATTATTTTCTGTGATCATTTAACAATATTTTACTTTTAAAAACATTTTTAAAATTTTCATGAAAATGAGCATGAATCTGGAAGCATGCTGCTTTAGAAACAACATGGACAACAGTTTAGTTGTTAAACCACACTTTTGCCATTGGATTACTAAAATAGTTAATTTTAACTTAAAGCAGCATGCCTCCAAATTTATAGACATATTCATGAAAATTTTGAAGATGTATTTTAAAGTAACGACATTGCAAAGAGAACAAAGGAAGTAATTTACACATTGCGGACAGCAATTACAATCTTCGCCATTTACCAAAAAGTGGTCAATATAATTTTGCAGAAATAGCCCTTACTGTACTAGTCACGCAGTAAAAATATATATGTTGATAAATACCTTCTTGAATTTTGAAACTGCGTATATTTAATTTTATGAAAACCTTAGTACATTTTTCTCCAGTTTTGAGTTTCTTGATTCATCTAGGCATGAAGCTTTTAATATACCTGATTTATAAAACGTCTTTATGAAATTAAATAAAAATAAAACTGATTTACATTTTGATCAGCCATATAGAACGGAAAAGTAAAATGAACATTGACAAAAGATTTTGAAAACAAGATTGTTGCAATTACATGCCGAATTTTGGAAAATATATGAAAAGATTAATAAAAAAACAATGAAAGAGAAACACAATACAGGTGCACCGTTCCTGCCAGGAAAACATGGTTGTGGTCAATGCCACATAAACCGAATGGATATAGTCATTTAATTTTAGTACTAATACACAAACATGTATGCATTAGTGATACATTTCATGCTTTTAAACTGGTAATTAATTAAAACATAAAAACTTTATTATTTATACATTATTGCTCGTTTGTTTTTGTTTTTATTGCCGAGTTTACCCCATATTTTTGAGTTTTGTAGTTAACCAGTAATTACCAAAATAATCTGAATAAGTGGTGAGAGCTCGTTTTCATGGAGAAAATACGCCTCGCCGGAGGATTGAACATGTTTTCTAGCAGACATATATATAGGATATTGAATGAGTATTGGTTCAATACTGAATTTATTGAACGAGTTTAACAAAACTATATTATGTGAGCCTCTGGCGAAATAAAAAGTTTTTTTCAGTTAAAATGATCATTGTTTTCATTGACGTGCTAGCGCGTCTTTACACCAGTTTGTATAATGCAAATAACTTAACGTCAAAATATATGCATGTCCGTGCAATACCAGTTTTACGGAGTTGCCAGAGCGGCACTGGTCGGTGAAAAATTACTGTACACTTAAAATTACATACAATATTTTGTTTAAATACATTGTAATTTTTACTATTTGATTTTAGTCTTACTGTATAGGTCTTGAATATGTTTATCATTGATATAATGTCTCTTGAAATTCTTAAATAGAATGGTCGTATGCAGATTTTATGTGAATATGTGTAAATATGTATAAAAATGTATGTATACGAATGAGACAAAAATAAAGTATGAATATATACATGTATATATCAAATAAATGATACAATTTATATCAGCAAGTTGCATGAACGAAATGTATTTTAAAATTGTAAATTTGCTGACATGGTGTTTAATCCTATTGGTATTGTTTAATCTACAAATTATCTATATACGCGATGGTTATTTTGGAATTTTCTTATAAAATAAAAGTTATGTCATGTTATATGGCCATTTATAATAATGCAAGATTGTAACGTTTCTTTTCATTCTTTTATAAATCCAATTTTAGTGTAAACGATAACAATATCACGAATCAAAACAAATAGTTTGTTCCCATAGAAATGTCACTTTTATTGAGAAAATCACTGTTTTAAAATTTATTTTCGCTCTGGTCATTTACGGGACACATCAATCTTATTACTATTATCTTATAATTGAACTGCAAAACACTGTATTGTATGTTTGTTTAAATAGGTATTAAGTATCTTGATAAAGTAAAATATTTTTTATCAAGATGCATGAAAAGTCATATCCAATTTAACTAAAACAGCTATGAAAATTTCTTACAATAAATACAATATACTCCAATATTATTGCGTTTACATCGATAAGCATGATATTACTCGAATGAATACTCTTAACTTAATTTTACCATTTACGGGATAGTTCAGTCAGATACGGGACACACCTGTTTTCATGTTTGCTTCATTTTTGTGATTGCAATATAAGTTTAAATATATTCGTTCATGAAAGTAAGTATCCATTGAAATTTATATTAGTCAAAATCTAAATATCAATTACAATCAAAAGTATGATTTTTAGAAGCTATCTGCAAGTGAAAAACACATTTCAGATACTAATTTTTAAAACATGGATACTTCTTTATTTTCGTGGAAGAATACCATTCCAATAATACGAACATTCATTAACAAGTTGAAATAATTCAAGAAATCAAGTAGAATAAATCACAAGAGAAGGTAAAAGAGGGTGAGTCCCATAAATGATGGGCTCGTAAATGTTGAAAATTTCTGATTGACAAAGGAATTTTATGAGAAATTGTTGAATGGTTTACATATGAGCAAGACAAATATCCGCTCTTGATATCTCACGTATTATAACATTGAAATTATTGAAAATATATTGTAAACCGCATGGTATTTAAGAGCCTCGTAAATGATTTTGTAAAAATTACGCTTGGAAAAATCCAAAATGGTTGCACAGGTACTCTTAATCCTTAATCTTCATATTTTATGTTAACTGTATTACTGTAGACTTAATATTATTATTGAATAAACCATTAATACGTTACCGTGTATGATTAACATTGTTTTGCAATTAAGACTCGTAAATGATACTAACTTTGAAGACATGCCATTCAAATTTGATTTTGAGAAAATTAATTTTCGCAATATCTAAAACAGTTTTATGTTTCAAAATTTGCAACAAAATAACGAAACTAAGCTGTGTTTACTGTTAACCATGATTATTTGTATGAATGCAATGAAACATTCTTCGATCTAGTTGAAGACATGCTGTTTTTCTTATCCCTTCCTTGCAAAAGCGACTGTCGCTAGCAAAATCAAAGCAATAAGTAGTAAATTTAAATCATTGATGCAGTACCAATTGTAAAAACATTTTACAGGAATGTTCGGTTTATATATTTGCACCAATTTTCATAGACCATTAAAGACGTTGAATGTCGTACCTGAGTGAGAATGTGTATATAATAAGCCATATAACATCAATTAATATATAATTAACTGTTATAAATTTAACGCCTCGTATCATATTTATCACATTCTGCCTTCATTCTGACATATACATTACTGCACCCCCCCCCCTCAAAAGAAATTATAAAAACAAACAATAAAAAAAACAAAAAAACAACAACAAAAAAAAAACAAAAAATAAACGCTTAACGATAAACGCGATTAAGCGTTTCCCGCTTAAGAAACGCTATTATCATATCATTACATTGATTTTGTTGATATCAGCTTTATCATGTTATATTGAAATGAAATGAAGAAAATGAAATATTTTTACCTCTTACTAGTTAGAAAATATTAAACTTAAATAAACTTTGAGTCGAATATATTTTTTTAAATATAAAGGTCTCTTACATTTGACTTAAACATTCGGGAATTTGTTTACAAATGCGTATATTTAAACCATGAATCCAATTTTTTTTATATTTAAACCAGGCTTACTTTATGTTAAATTCTATGAACAAATTATTGTTAAGTTGTTAATGTAGATAAATTTTTTTATTGTAAGTTTTATTTATTATTTTTTTGTTTTGTTTTGTAAACCAGGCTTACTTTATGTTAAATTCTATGAACAAATTATTGTTAAATTGTTAATGTAGATAATTTTTTTTATTGTAAGTTTTATTTATTATTATTTTTTTTGCTTTTTTTTTTGTTTTGTTTAAAAGACAGTTGATATTTTATGTTATTTATGTTGGATTTTTTTTGGTGTATTTTCCCTTCTTTATTTGTTTGACAAGACATGATGCATGACACGCGGTGAAGACCGTGCCTAGGGGTCGTTAGCTTACTTGCAAAGAATATGTGATTTCTGTATACATAATCCATATTGTAATGCCTACCTGTAAATAACAAATAATTTTGAGAATAAAAATCGGCCTTATTCTAAAGACAAACTATATTGTCACTTAGAAAGTTGCAGGAAATTTTACTTAGATCCGATATGAACCAATTATCGCCATTTATATCCCATAAATGCAGAATTGATAACTTAAGCAGAATTGTGCAGAAAGTCAGGAAGGGTCTTTGTGCAAATTAATAACGAAATTATAGTTGTTCGGTATAACGAAACGTCAACCAAAGAGGAACATTATGTGTTGCGTTATTGTACTTATTAATATTGGCGGGCGGTAGACAGGTCGTTTTTCTTTCACATGTAATTGCTTTCATTGAAATATATGTTATGCATGTTAGGAGAGTTAAAATATTTTGTCCTTACAAGCGTAAGCGCTAATTTATTTTATTCAATTTGATGAACATGTTCATTAAAATGTATTTCGGTCAAAGGACATTTTGTTGTCATTTTTGCATCTCATATTCCTAAGTTACGGGATATAATTTTATACTACAGTATGGTAATTATTCGGAAAAGAAAGAAATTCACAGCATGGAGAAAATAAGGGACCTGTCAAACGGTCGGTGATATACTTGACAGCTTTTAACAAAAATGTCTGGGGGTAAATCAATTGCAAATTAATTTTATTATGACAAGTTTTAAGAGTGGTATTTGAGAGTTGATTGATATTTATTTAATAGAATGATATTATTGTAAAGAAAACTAAATAAATATTTTAAAAAAAAATTAATAGATCAAACAAGTACAAAAAAAAAAACACACAAACATTTCCATTCATTTACGAAATGCATAGGGATATAATATGTATTCCTTATTATTTGCGACCGAAAGTAATATACTATATTAAAGTAACTTTTAGGCAATGTTGTTAAGATGGGACTTATTTTGCTTATTAAAGATCAAAAGCCCGAATTTGCTCAAAAGCAAAATATTGTTGATGTCAATCTATTTATATATTCATCAGATTACGTTATTATGCAAAATAACCGAGTCTAAACAGAGTTTTACATTGTTTTATCGTTTCAAATTATGTGTATTACTTTAAACGGGCCTTTAATAGTCTAAATACACCGAGTACATTTAATTTTAAAAAGGGAATTTCGTATACTAGTAATCCAATTATTCAATTCAGATCAAACAACCCCAAATGTTTTCTTTGCGTATTTTGTTCTCAATAGTGTGTAAGGTACAGTTTTCTCGAAACTTGTTAGCGTTTAAAAATTATTAAAACGTTTTAAATAAACATCAGTCTAAAAGTTGATATATTACAATTCTGACTAATGTACCGCGAACTGCGCATATCATTTCGTATTCACCATTGTCCATAATGCGTAAAAATGAAACTGACTTTAGTAAACCAAAATATCTGTGCTGTGCTAGCCTTTTATGACAATCACCTAACTTGTTTTGTCTACAGGTCCTGTTCGAGCTCTTATCTGAAAACATTTAAAAGACATATCACAAAAACTTAGAGAAAACTCTCGCTCTTGTATGTAGTAACGGGACGTTTACGGACGCAACGGAAAAACAAAAGTGTCGCCTTTACAAAAACAACGCATTTCATTTTTGAAATTAAAAACCAGGTATCAATTTAAAACGTAAAAGAAACCCACACAACGCTTATATATATGTGTGTGTGTGTGCCATATTACTTTCTTCTACGCTTCATTTTGTTTTTAAGTTAGAAGGAAGAAATGCTCGTAATCTCCAATCAAAGGCTGAAAATATTTTTCGTGCGATTAATATATGTGAAAACAAATTGCAATAATGTATACAGCGTGGAGGATATACTTCTGTATGGTTTAATATTGTAGAATTGCAGCTGATAGACCGTAATGTTCAATCTTGACCCGGTAATTGAAACTATAGAACATGTTCATATGCTAATTCGATCATACAGACTATCTAAAAAATCAAAGAGGATTAGGTCATCTTTATCATTTTAATTAGCTCGCTTACATCTTTTACGTCCTCTGCTAGTTTCTTCTGCTCCTTTTATTAATCCACAAACGCTCTCCCTTTTATAACCTTTTCGTACTTAACCGGATGTATCAATATTCAAACTCATTTATTTGTTAGAAAAACAATAAATAAATAATTCGACCCCACCTGCTCTGTTTTTCTTTTGTGCTTTCTACCATTCTGTTTCCGCGAGTCTTTTAGTTGCCCTTGTTGGTGCCTTTCTTATGCTTCTGTGCGAATATTGTCGGGACTCTGTCCAATAAATTATTCTCTCTCTCTTGTTGAAATTTTTTCTCACATTTGAGCCGGGTCACGACAAAACCAACATAATGGGTTTGCGGCCAGCATGGATCCAGACCAGCCTGCGCTTCCGCGCAGTCTGATCAGGATCCATGCTGTTCGCTATCAGTTTCTCTACGTGTAAAAGAGTTGGGAAGCGAACAGCATGGATCCTGATCAGACTGCGCGGATGCGCAGGCTGGTCTGGATCCATGCTGGTCGCAAACGCATTACGTTGGTTTTGTCGTGACGCGGCTCATTATGACTTAACCCTTTCGGAACCTGAAATCATTAGAGATCAACAAGGCAAGAACGCAGATCCCGACAAAACCCATGCATTCTAGCAAGGTACCTAGAAGGCACCGGACCAAACACGAGAGGGGGCACAAGGGCTGTGAAAGGAGGGGAGGAACATGTCAATAACCGTTTAACAAGAGACATTATTAAGAACCAAAAGGGATGATATGGGGAATTAGTAACGATTCGGCACAATAACGATTCGCCACATCACGATTCGCCGCAGTGAAATAACGATTCGCCACAGTTAAATAACGACTCACCACAGTATGATTATAACAATAATCTTTTTGAGGAAGAGAATAAAAAGAGTGAAAAAAAAATATACGAAGCGTTTCTTTAGGAATAGAAAATTCTTTGATTATTGCGAGGAGCAGTTATGAATTAAATCAAAGCATTAATATTTTGTATATAATTAGCAAGTTATAGCAGGTTAGTAATAAATCAAGATTTTTTAGAAGGGTAAAACTTATCCCGCTATGTTGTCATTGCTTTATGCAATTACGAATTAAAAGGAATGTATGACTGATATTGTTATAAAAACTCGTACAACTCGTTGGTCGTATTCAATTTCATGTGACTTTTTGTTATTATATCCTATATGAAATAGATTCATTATTTGGTGAAATCTATTTATCAAAAAAGTATCTGTAGTTATCATCCAACAAAACGAATGGCAGCAATTTAATATGATAATAAAATAGTACTGATGGTATTATCGATAATAAAATATTCCTATTAAAATTCTACCAATTAGCATTATAATCAGGGCATCAGTTTTGATAAAAAAATTTAAGCATTTTTTCTTTTCAATTCTTTAAAATGTACCCCCATCAGCCAACGACAAATAAAGACTTGAAATATGTTTGCCTGTAATAAGATCTGACAATATATCGTATTTTAAAGCTGACGAAGCATTATAAAATATAATGGTAACGGAAGAGGTAACGGCGGAAAATATTAAAACAAAGATCAACAAGAAAGCGTAGCAACCAATAAAATTGTGCTTCTATCAGTATGGTTTTTGCTTTTTGATAGGTGGTGGATGCTGATTTAAGTGATACGACAAATGATCAAAAAATTATGTCACTGCCTTGATTACACAAAAACCTGTCGTCAGTTTGTTTCATTTCTATTATAAAATTCAGGCGCAGAAAATGGCCCGTTGAAGCAACGTAAACAGTAAATTTAGCACATGGTGACTGGACGTTTTTCCAGAATAGATAATTCAATTGTACATCCGCGCAGTCTAATCAGGATCCATGCTGTTCGCTTACAAATCCTAGTAGAGAAACTGATAGCGAACAGCATGGATCCTGATCAGACTGCGCGGATGCGGAGGCTGGTCTGGATCCATGCTTGTCGCAAACGCACTATGTTGGTTTTGTGGTGACGCAGTTCAAATGTCGTTTTCGTGAGGGTGCACACCAAAAATAGAGATCATCGAAAAACCCGTACAATTTGACTTTGTGTGTAGATGATATGATCAAAATCACCTTGGCAGCGTTTTACTAACGTACTTACACTGAAGATTTGCGAAAGTTTTAACTTACGCAAGATTTCTTTACGTAAAGGTGTTTTACAAAAAATTTGCGTAAATAAGAGTTTTGTAATTTTTTACGTAAAGTTACGCTTAAAATGTGTTGACTTATAACTTACGTATATAAGACTAACATCATCTATGAATAATGGCAGAGAAGGAAAGCGAGAATTCTAGAGACGGATGTGACTGGTAATATATAATAGGGTCTAAGTAAAGAAAGGATAATGTGGCTTTACGGACTTGTTGCTTTACGGACTTCTTGAAAATAATTTAGTAAATAAATAAATTAAAAAAAACATATACGAATATTGAAGTTGTCCTATCAGCTTAAAGACGAAAGTCTTTTAACTATTATCTTCTTCCGGTACCCCATAACGCCCTTAGACGTGGTTGACCTCGACCAAAATATTTAAAATCAGTTATTAAGTGTTTAATATTATTTCAATATACTAAATATGGATTTATTGAGAAATTTATAAATTAAATATAACGTTAACTGAAACTCATTAAATTATGGCAAATATTCAGATACCATTACTTCACTAAAATACTGAATAGTTACACTGCAATGATGACTACACACTTTTAAATAGCTTTTGTTTGCATGTGACATTTTTGTGTCATCTTTTTACGCATGTTTTTCGCATGGTGTAAATCGTTAAAAATCAAGGTTTTCTTAAATGGACAGGCTTAAAATTAATTAAAACCAATAAAAATAAATAAATAACATAATAAATATATAAATAAATAAATAATAATTAAAAATGTGGGTTACGGGAAAAACCTAAACATTTCATATAAATTTGAATGAGAATAAAAAATCAACATTTTCACTTGCGGACATTACAGTTTACCAAACAAAAATGATGAATCATTTGCAGTTCCCCTTAAAGCTCTTTAATTACATTTAATTAAAATCGAGAGAAACCCCTGGGTGATTGATGGCCGTTGGCACAATATGCACTTAAAATACCAATTGCTCAGCAACATTCCTGAGTGTCCGTAGATGATGCTTCGAAATTCTAGTTTAGTCTTGTTTAAAAATTTCTTGCGGTCATTGAATAATACCAAAACGCTTCCTTTTTGACAAATTCTTCAAACCTCCTTTGAAGAGTTACGCACCATTTTTAACGTAAGTTTAAGAAAAAACTTGCGAACGTTTTGTGGAACATACTTACGATTTACGTAAGTTTAAACGTAAGCGTAAAGTTACGATAATTCTTACGGAAAAACTTACGCAATGGTTAGTAAAACGTTGCCCTTGACTTCAAATCTAAAGCCGAAAACTTATTACATTATTTCACCTTAATTTTAGATTGACTGAGCTCAATACTGCAAAAAATAGTACAATGTTGCCCCGGACAATGTAGAAGCAATGCCTAAGTTCGGTTAATGTCCCCCCACAAAAGCCCGATTTACATGTTCTTTTTCAGTGGATAATAATTGTGTGGTATCTATGTTCTCTGCTCATCTAACTCCTCCCACTTTTCGTTAATAACGGAGTGTACCATTTGAACACACCTTAAATGTCAATCCTTAGTTATTCTTTAAATATTTACTACCTTAACATATTAATATATATTTAATAAGGTAAACATAAATAAACATGCTTCAATAACTCTAATATAATTAAATGTTAAAAAGCAACGGGAATTATACAATACTGTTATATTCTGACATTTATGAATGTTGTATTTTTGGATATGATGTGGGTTTAAATGCTTAAAGTAATATTGTATCACGGATTCGTATAATCTGACAAGCAAAAGCATTGCTAATTACATTAACTAAAATAGCCGAACGTTTTATCTTCAAACTTGTTTGTTATAATTTATGTAAGTAATTAAAATTACGTCAGCGGCATCGCAAAATGGGAAAGAGATTTCGTGTAAGATGCCCGTTGCATCATTTTTACATTTTGGTTTTATATTTGACTTTGATTTTATACATTTTAACTTCATCTAGGACTAGTCACGACTTAAACGGGAAACTTTTCGAAGTTAAGCTGAAGCCGGGATTGATGAAAATGATCAATCCTACGGGACCTAAATATGCACTTACAATAGATGCGTCATACTATCTTGAAAATAAAACCATGTGCTCGTCATATAAAGATTTGAAAGTTCTTATTTTCATTCTTTCTGCACCAAACAATTTTCAAAGAAGAAATATAATCAGGAAAACATGGGGAAATCCTAGATTTTATTCCAGCTACGGGACTGTGAAAGTCATGTTTCTTCTCGGAAGAACAAATAATATTAATGTTCAAAATAATATAAAGGGTGAGTTCGACTCTAATGGAGATATACTTCAGGGTAATTTCATAGATTCATACTATAATTTATCACATAAAACTGTAATGGGCTTCAAATGGTTGACTGAACGTTGTAGAAATGCTAAATACATAATAAAAACTGACGACGATATCGTGATAAATTTGTATCGTGTTTTTCAAAATGTTATTTCTTACATGTCTGTTAACCAGTATCATGTTCATTGCAAACGATTTATGGAACCTGGAGTTGAGCGAAACAAGAGTAGCAAATGGTATGTTGAACCACACCAGTTCAGAGGAACGGAACGTTATGTGCCATATTGTCTTGGACAATACGTGATGTTTCTCAACGATATCGTCCCACATCTATACGAGTCCGCATCCTCCACACCATTCTTCTGGATAGATGATGTTTTTAGTTATGGTATAGTTATGAACAATATTCCGTCATTGAAATACAAAGAAGTAAAATCGGATGACTATGTGTCATACTCAATGTTGACCACACTTAACTGCTGGAAACAATTATTGCCATCTTGCAGTCATGTGTTTATAACGTCGGAAAATGATTCAGAAATCAAAGATATATGGTTACACATAAATCGCCAGTATCATTTGCTGTAGATAAAAATGGAAAAAAGATTTATAAGTGCATAACGACGTTGTTGTTTTTTGTGTTAACTCAGAAAATATGTATGTACAGATATTATAACTGAAATACTTTTCAATACAAAGTATCGAATTCATAATATTATCTAATATATATAAAAGATATTTACGTGTTTTTATTTAGAGCGGCGGATTTTTTTTACTAAAAACAATATTGAATTGATAGAATTAAATATATATATATGTATGTATGAAATAGGATGTTGCAATACTTCGGTACCTGCATTTTAATTATGTCAAAATTATTCATAGATGTTCGTTTTATTATTTAGCTGGTGAGGAAATTGTTACACAGATAATTTACAACTTGTATGCACCGCTTTTTATTAATATTTCTTTTCATATCCTTGCAAACAGAATTTCAGATCTAATATTATATTTTATTATTGTCGGTTTTGATATTAATTTTTTTGTACACAGTGGTATATTCTTATAAACTGCTACAGGGAACTACTTACATGTGTTGAATACCGTATTTCAAAAATTTGTCTAAATATGGTATTTCTGTAACGACCGGATAATTGTATAGTTCTTCTATATATTAATACATTTTATATGTATTTGTAATCATAAATATATACACATGTGTATATGTTTAAATTGAACATTTTCTCATGCTAAAAGGTAGAAATCCTCTTTTATCTTTCTGTACCCCACCCACTTCAAAAAAAAAAAAAAAAATAAATAAATAAATAAGCGAACCCAAGAATATATTGTTGTGTGCATAAATAATCTGTCAATCTGTTACTTTATGTAGTTCTCATGTTTCGTGTTAAAATGTTTCTTATGTCATTCTTTTGTATTGTTTAAGTTCTATTGCATCAGGCAACTATATTCACTTTCATATTTGTGTAATGAATTTGTGCTGGTGAATTGTACATTTCAAAGACAAATATTTCACCTTTTATTTATATACTTTCTTGTATCTTAGTTTGGGGACCTTTCTGTTGAAAATGAGTCAGTGTTAAATCGTATACATATACATGCACAGTTTTTTAAGTGGAGTGCGGGTATTAGTTACCCGCACTCCAGAGCATGCCCATTGATTGGCTCATTTTTGCTGGGGTTTACATATTGTGACGGCAGAGAAAAAGCGACAGAAATATCATATTCAGATGTTCGTTCATTGGTTCATTTTTGCCGGGGTTTCATATTGTGACAACAGGGAACGTGTTTTTATGTTTGACTATGATACAAAAGAGAAAGAACACCAAAACACTCGGTAATCTGATTAATACTCGGGGCTACGCCCCCTCGTACAAATCAGATAACCTCGTGTTTAAGTGCTCTTTCTATTACTTATTACAATTTTATTAAAGATTAATAGACTTACTTTAATGGTTTGAATGTCAACCACTTCTTTTCTCTTGGATGTAATAAATATGTTATAATTGATGAAATAATAACTGTATACTTTCACTTATTTCCGTGTTTTGGCAGCCATTTTGGCGCATCATGCAATAAAAATTATGATATCATCCGTGACTTAATCTTTTCGCGAGATATTGTTTAATTTGCTAAATGTTATGAAATTTATATTACATGTATATGTATTTTTATATGTTGTTAATAAGTTAAAGTTAACAAAAAATGTCGAACGACACATATGCCCCCATTTCTAGCCCTTGACTCACATTATTGGTAATTATGTCTGAGATATTTGACATATATTGGTACATAGAAGAGTTCAATTATGAAAACAAAAATAATGAAGACTTTGTGATAAATAGTTTTCAAGATGATGAGGCATTTAAGGCCCATGTGACCTAGACCTTTGAACTAGTGACCCAAAATCAATAGGGGTCATCTAATAGTTATGACCAATCAATATTAGAAATATGAAGACTGTGATAAATAGCTTTCAAGATAATGAGCGGAAACCATACTAACATTCAAGAACCCTGTGACAATTTGACCCAGTGACCTAAAAATCAATAGCGGTCACTTACTAGTTATGACCAATCAGTATGTGAAATATGATGACTTTGTGATAAATAGTTTTCAAGACAAGATAATCAGCGGAAACCATTATGACAGTTAAAGCCCCTGTAACCTTGACCTTTGATCTAGTGACCCCAAAAGCAATACAGATCATCTGTTGGTTAAGACCAATCACTATGAAATATGAAGACTTTGTGATAATAATCTTTCAAGATAATGAGCTGACATCATACTACCATTCAAAGTCCCTGTGACTTTGGCCTTTGACCTTGTGACACCAAAATCAATAGGGGTCATCTACTAGTTATGACCAATCAATATGTGAAATATGATGACTTTGTGATATATAGTTTTCAAGACAAGATAATCAGCGGAAACCATTCTGACAGTTAAAGTTCCTGTAACCTTGACCTTTGATCTAGTGACCCCAAAAGCAATACAGATCATCTGTTGGTTAAGACCAATCACTATGAAATATGAAGACTTTGTGATAATTATCTTTCAAGATAATGAGCTGACATCATACTACCATTCAAAGTCCCTGTGACTTTGACCTTTGACCTTGTGACACCAAAATCAATAGGGGTCATCTACTAGTTATGACCAATCAATATGTGAAATATGAAGAGTTTATGATAAATAGTAACTAAGATAATAAGCAGAAATCATATAACCATTCAAGGCCTCTGTGACAATAACCTTTGACCAAGTGACCCCAAAATCAATAGGGGTCATCCGCTATCTATGACCAATCAATATGTGAAATATGTAGACTTTGTGATGAATACTTTTCAAGATAATCAGCGGAAACCATTCAGACATCTAATGCCCCTGTGACCTTGACCATTGATCTAGTGATCTTTAAATCAATAGGGGTCATCTACTAATTATAGCCTATCAATATGTGAAATATGAAGACTGTGACAAATAGTAAGCAAGATAATAAGCAGAAATCATATTACCAATCAAGACCCTTGTGACCTTGACCTTTGATATAGTGACCCCAAAATCAATAGGGGTTATCTTCTAGTTATGACCAATCAATATGTGAAATATGTAGACTTTGTGATGAATACTGTTCAAGATAATCAGCGGAAACCATTTTGACATTTAAGGCCCCTGTGACATTGACCTTTGACCTACTTATCCGGAAGTCAAATGGGGTCATCTGCTAGTTATGACCAATCAATATGTGAAATATGAAGACTTTGTGATAAATAGTCTGGTTTACCGACAGACAGACAGACCGACGGACCGACATTAGCCCCCTCTTCTTCGAAGGGGGACATAATAAATTTGCTTAAGTGTTTAAAAACACCTCAATCGTAATTTCACCTTGCCTAAAGCCGGGTCTGGACGAACTCGTGTGACACTTCTTGTGTAGCAAACAGGTCATCGTTACACAAGAGGGACGTCACATATGCGATGTAGCGGTTAGATATTTTATTATGTTTGACTCTGCAGAAGATCTATTGATATATAAGAAACAAGGTAAAGTACAGTGAGTCATTTACATGTAATATTCTGGTACCGCGTTACGATATTGCATAGCAATAAAGAGGTGTGGGAGATTCCGATACTATTACTTTTAAAGAGTATAAATAACGTGATATGAGTGAACACAGTGACGATGACTTGTGTAAAGCTGGAACATGTTTTAGTCAATTACAAAACAAAAATCCCATTGTGCCGCAATATAGTAGGTCAATTAACACTCAAGATGGTACTAGCTCCCATTTTAACTTTGAAAACCCTAATTTCTGAATTTCTATAATAGTTGAGTTTGGTTATAAACACCGTAGATTAAACCATGATTATGTTCAAAACTGTCACGGAAGAGAACATGATGAATTTTGTAGTTGTTAAGAAGATAATCAATGTTGCTGTCGTATACAGTTGAACAAACGGTCGAAGCCAAAGGTCGTGCTTGCTTGTTTGTTTGTTTGATTGGTTGGGTTTAACGTCACACCGACACAGTATAGGTATATGGCCGGATTATTTCATGGTTATTCTATAAAAGTAATTTTATTTTACATAAATACATGTATATACACGTATGTATATGTTCAAATTGAGCTCTATTCTATATAAAAGTAAGCGAACCTCCAAATATATTGTTCTGTACATTTATAATACCTGCTGTAGTTTCTTGTTAAAATATTCTTTTAAAATATTTCTTGTTAAAATTCTTTTACATTGTTTAAATTCTCTTGCCTTAGGCGATTGTATTTACCTTCATATTTGTGTAATGAATTTGTGTCCGTGCAATTTATATTTCAGAGACAAATATTTCACTTTATATATACTTGATTGTTATAATTTTAGTATACGTTAGTAGACTTAGATCTACCTTAGTGGATGATGCGTCAAAATAGGCGCCAGAACACGGAAGTAAGTGAAAAAGAATTGTTATTTCACCAATTACAACATACTTAACATTCCAATAGAAAAAGAATGGTTAAAATGTACACCACTAAGTGTTATGACGCTACCTGTGACGTAATCTTTTCGTAAGATATTGTTTAGATCAGCGCTGTGCTCATTTTGGTGTAGGGCTGGCAACCAGTAAAATAATACTTACCTAAACTAGGTTCTATTAAGTAACTTTAGTTTCCACTTTGAATCCACCTAATGTGTGTTCGCTATTAACACAGCGTACACTTCTTTTCCATACGAGCGAGCAAAACGCGAAAATCGCTGATTTTCTTAACAGACATTTGATAAACAAGTTTCATAAGACCAATCATGGAGAAATTGTTACTTTTATAACTAGAAGTTAAATTAAAGAGATTTTTTTCTGGTTTAAGCCCTACGGTAAAACCTATGTATTCTGAAAAAAATACGATTTCTCAACCCGATGCCTAAAAAATGTCACAATTGTTGAATTTGAACACCGATTTCAAGCTTTACATGAAACATACGAGCAAATCCTCTTGATACTTTGAAGAATAATCATGTGAGTTAAGAAAATTAAACAATATCTGGTGTGTACACAGTGGTTTCGGAAAAAAATGACAAATACATCATTATTGGTGTTGTTTCCTTACTGTACGGTTACTTGCTAACTCATTTTACGGTTGCTTTGAAGAATAAATTAAAACAGTTTTCGGTTGCTTATAAGCAAGCTATTTTGATAATTTCATTATAATGTATTTCAGATGTTGTTAATGAAACTAATATCTAAAATTACATATAAACGACGTTTTTACATGTCAATGTTTTTGGAAATGGAAAATTCACCAAAATTGTACAATGATTTGCATTAAAGAACTTAGTTTGTTTGTTGTTTTTTGTTTGTTTTTATTTATGGCTGTCAATATTTACATAATTTGCTGTAATAAAAAAGTTCGGTTGTGCATGAAATTAAACCATAGTCCAGTAGTTAAATGGTCAGAACTGAAGATAAAATTTGTTTAAATGATAACCTGTGTTTTAAGTTTTGTTTTTATATGTGACATATATAATATGACACTTAAGGTTTATTCCAAAACGTAGGTAAATGCAATCGACATTTATCAAACAAAAGTGAAAGTGTGTTTCGTTGACTTCTTAAATTAAATGTCAGACAAACATATTAATATTCATGTAACACATTATGAATCAAACAATATTTTATTATTTAGTCCATTTGGAATCAAAGTATTTAAATTATGGATCCAAAAAGATTCTTTACGTCCATGTTGTTATCTATAATTTCTATGGGCAAAAATGAAAAATAAGACAATAATCACTTATTTTTGGGTGATCCGAAATGGACCGCAACATGTGAAACTGGATTTACGTTACAATTTCTTATATCAAATCTATGTTTATTCATTCTACTCGATACATTTTGATAAGTTTGACCTACGTATTGCTTATAACAGCCTTTACATGTTATGAGGTACATTACATTACGCGGAGTACAGTACATCATTGTACAACCTGTAATGCTGCTCAACAATTATATTGTTACAATGTGAACATCTACTTCGT